CCAAATTAAAAACCCGAAGGTGCGAGAACATCACCAAACAACACATCAACGGCTTTCTTCCTTAAGTCCACATGCCTTCATATTGCATTTTGATATTTTGGGGAGGGGTTCACAGTTTGGCGACTTCAAACTGGGGAATGTTTAATGTAATCTTTTTGCATATAGTGGACTACAATATGCCTGCATAGACTAACCTGCCCTTCTTTAGGGTATTATTTTACTATGCTTTTGTTTTTTGCAGGGTACCTAAGCACAAAATTGATTTGGTATTCTTTCCTTAAGAATACTTAATAAGGAAAAATTTGACTTGATTGACAAATTTAATTAAGACATTTGAATTTGTTGATTTACTGTGCAACGATTGAGAATCTTTTCTCCATTGCCATGAAAAATGCATTTCAAAATGAATTTCTTCTCTCTCCGTTCAATTCTGAGTCTGGATAGCAAGTAGCGCTGATACGGCAGGTCCTCTTTGATTATGTCGACGGACAGCCAAGCGTCCTCCCTGTTACCACGCAAAACCATCCCTAACCTTTTGGGGCATGGCCCATGAGTAATAGCGTACTGTTGGACCACGTGAAATCTTTGTTTCACATGTGGTTAAGGTATATCCCATAAACTCAAGGTTCAAGGGTCCTTTTAAGCCAATTCTCTATTTGAGTCATAGCCTATAGAACCTAATCCTTTTAGGACTGTATGCGACCCAATGAATGTTGATCATATCATTAAACAGATTGTGTTGGTGGATGTTGTGCGCATCACACATTCACCCATACTTACAAAAAAAAAAAAAAAAAAAAAAAAAAACAATTCCATTTTCAAAAGTTGGGAAAATTCACAATTTGGCCCCTAAGGCCCAAAAAAATCTCCACATTTGGCCCAAAGGCCCAAAAATCTCAATTGGCCACTAAGGCCCAATTCTCAATTTGGCCCCCGAAGGCCCAAAAATTCCCAAATCTGGCCATAGAGCCCAAAAATTTCTCAATTTTTGGCCCCAAAGGCCCAAAAATTCCCAACTTGGCCCCGAAAGGCACCAAAATTCTCAAATTTGGGCCCGAGGCCCAAAAATTCTCAAATTTGGGCCATAGAGGCCCAAAAATTATCCAACTTGGCCCCGAAGGCCAAAATTCCCAATTTGGCCCCTAAGGCCCGAAAAGTTCCCAATTTGGCCCCTAAGCCCACAAAATCCATTTGGCCACAGAGGCCCAAAAATTAACAATTTTTTGGCCCCCTAAGGCCCACAAAATCCCATTTGGCCCAACAGAGGCCAAAATTCCCATTTTGGCCCCTAAGGCCCCAAATTTCCCAAATTGGACTCCAAAGAACCCAAAAATTCCACTTTGGGCCCCTAAAGGCCCAAAAGCTCACATTTGGCCACCGAGGCCCAAAATTCCCCGATTTGGCCAATAAGGCCCAAAGAATTCACATCTTTGGCCCTAAAGGCCCAAAAAAAATTTTTCTTTGAGAACTTAAGGCCTTCGAAAGTCGAGGTGTCCAGCCCACAAGCACGTCTACCCAACATTGTTTTGGTCATACCACCACCCATTCACAAGGGTAGTCCAAATACTTACCCATACACTACACTATCTTCACAATACCCTATAAACACCTTATAAGGATAGTCCTACATCAATTTGAACTATTTCCCTTCACAGGTACCCCCTCTAAAGACAACCTGTACCGCGATAAACACCAACTGAGCTCTCACCCACAAGTCCACAACCCCGATCTGCACCAATGGCATCAAAATCACTGACATCCAAACTCTCATTGAACGAACTGGAGGCCAGATGGAGCCAGAATGAAATGAGGCAAATGGCTTGCCCAAAGGACAGCCCTGAAGCTTGAACTGGGTAATGGATTGGGAAAAGGGGCTTCAGGCAGGGGAAGTGACCTGCTGCCGCTCCAATCAAGGACCTACTGCAGAACCGACAAACCCTAACCCCTAACTTGGATGACATGCCCTCCAGAAATGCTTTCTGAGCTGGATAGCTTCAAGAAAAATGAGAGAGAAGCTTGGAATGTTTGAAAAGATCTTATCACCTGCTTCAAAAAACCCACAAGGAAGCTGTGGACATGGAACTCCTTGTCTTGTTCCCCGAAGCAAGATTACCTACAAATTCAAGATGCCTTAACATGGACAAGTTTGATGGAACCACTAGTCCCAAAAACTCATTCGAAAATGTATGTAGGTGCCCTCCAACCGTTTGGCCTGAACAGTGAGCTCCCTTGCCAGTTGTTTCAGCAATCTTTTGAGACTGGTGCTGCATTAAGATGTTTTAGCTGGATCGTTCCAAAATGAAGAATTGGGAGGACTTATTGCACTGCTTTCGACAACGGCAGTATCATTATAATATCGAAGTGGATGTTACCCGGAGGGAGCTGGAAACCACTAAACAAAAGAACAATGAGCCCTTCTCCTTCGTCCTTTCGAAGGTGGAGAGCAAAGCTGCCTCAAAATGAATCACGACCCTCCTGAACAGGAAACAAGTGACATAATAATCAAGATTTTTAACTGCCTGTCTACCAGTCCCACAGCTTCAAACACAGTACTTGCCTACGTTCCAATCGCTCAATTACTGCCTACGTGAGACTTAATCCAAGTTGGGTCGAACTCAAAGAAGAATCATACAAGAAGCAAAATCATGCTGGGTCAGTGAGACAATGAAATAGCCAGTAATAATCCCCCGAATCCTTTACGTTTGGGATTTGGGAAACAAATCAACCAAGGGAGGCAATAATACTGATCTCGGCATGCCCAATCCTTTGGTGTTCCGAGAAGCAGTGAAAGCAAATTTCTGCCTTGAGCAAGGCCATTTACCAAACCCCCTGCCTCGGAATTTCAAAGCCAATGAATACTGTGAGTACCATCAAGGACATGGGCATCAAGGACCGATCATGTTGGCATTGAAAACCGTCTACAAGACCTGGTTGACATGGGTCCATCTCCCAGAGCAAAGCTGAACATCACTAATCCTTGCCAACCATGGATTATGCAAATTTTTGCTGAAACAAGAATCGTTTCGAATCCTTTCGAACTTTTCTTAGAAAATGAATGAAAGTTGTGTCTGAGAAGGTTGAGAAATAAACCTCCAAAAAGAACAAAGGAATTGTTCAATGACCAAACGACAACACTGTCTGACTCGATTTAAGATCGAGAAGAGC